CTCTCTCTCTCTCTCTCTCCCTCTCTCTCTCTCCCTTGAATTCTCTCTGCTTCTGCTGTTATGAGGATCATAACCCTGGATACATCCACCTCCTACTTCAGCTGTACTTCTACTGCTATTATGCGGCTATGGCCGCCTGTCTTCCACAGCACAGTGCTGCCCAGCCAGGGCTCCAGCGCTAGGCAACTCGCAAATAGCGCACAAGCGCTCAGCTGCAATTCCACACTTCTCGCAAATGAGCAATCTGTCCGAAATGTGGCTGGCCAGTCTCTATATTGACTTGGACTGGGCCTTGACTCGTCCCAGCCTCTGCTTCTCTTGACTTGCGTTGGGCCCGGTACCGGCTGCCCGCGGCCCGTTTGCTTTCGGATTGTTGAGGCCCAGCTCCTCCGTGAGTTTTCCTTGGTGTGCTGCTGCTGTTGGTCTGTGGGTCGTGACCTTTGACTGTGGGACGTGACCCTTGGGATGTGACTCTTGACTGTAGCACGTGTGACTTTTGCATGTGGGATGTGACTTCCGACTGGGCAACGGTTGGACTTTCCCTCCGGGGTACACGATTTAACCTTTCTGAATCTGGCTGCCTTGGCCTCTTTTGAACTGGGGTCTTTTTTGACCCTGAGACCCGAATTAGGGGTCTGGAGGGCCCCCTGAATCTCAACGAGTCCTGAATTTCGTGTGATTGAATGCAAATCTGCAAGGAACATGAGCTTTCAATGTGATTGAATCTGGATGGGTTATAGGCAGAGATGCAGAATTCCAGAGTGCAAAATCACAATGAAAGCCAGAAAGTCGAACGCTGTCCAGAAAGCAGATATGCAGCGAAATTCCACCAACGGAGAACCAAAGCAACAAATCCAAATGTAAATGAGAGCATACTCTCGCCACCACCAACGTATGTATCCAGAGCCCTTCCTCCTACTCGGCGCTTAGAGCCCAGACTACAATCACACAGCTACAACTCAGCCTTCAAATTGACAATGCAACCTGTTGATGTCAGCAGCAAGAACCGAAGTACATGAAGATGTCGACCCTGTGCCCTCAGCAGCGCGCTGCTTTCTTGCACGACCGCACGCGTGTGCACACTTGCCCCTAGCGCTAAGCAGGCAGCCCACGAGCTCGCGCTCCAGCAGCGCTGCCGCTTGCTTACGCAAGTGCCGAATGCCTGCCTCGTAGCCCGGCCCTTTCCTACATGGAAAAAAGCGGGGCTTGTTGCCTCCCTCTTGCCCCGTGAGACCAGCACAGGGGAGGGCATCGGCTGTCCCCCATATGAGGAGAAGGCAGCTTGCATTTTCCCAAAAGAAAAAAAAAAAAAGTTTCCATGTCATCCTTGTGCAGCGAGAAACACAGAAGAGGGTGGGCATAAGGAGGTGAGGAGTCCCATAAAAGAATCAGACGATACATACTGTTCCGGGTCCACGCATCGCCATTTCCTTCAGCTGCGCTGCTATATTGTACCCATGCCCACGGTCCCCAAAAAGAAGGTTCTGCAGCAAATGGAGTTTTCCAATGAACAAAAATTCAATGATTGAAAAACAACAATTGGCCAACAGAATTGACCGCTGTGAGATTTCATAAGCATACAATACTGAATATTCAATATTTTAAATAAACTTAAACCTTGGCTACCAGTCGGGCCATCAGGGTTGCCTCAGCCTGGCCCGAGTGGCCCGGCCGGCCCAGGTCCGGCAGGCAAAGTCCCGCTCAAGGTTCCAGGCAGCCGCAGCACAAAAAAAAGGGGAACAAAAAACTCTGAAAAAAAAGTATGTCATGCAGAATTGCAAATCAAGCAACTTTTGGCTGAACAGTGAACTCTGAAATCCGTTATGAAATTTGAAAAAAAAACAAAAAAAACAAAACATGAAGTTATATCGCACCCCTTCAAGCTCCTTTAAGCCCCTTCGAAGCCCTCTTATACCCAATAGACACCCTTTGGTGAGACCACCAAATTCAAAGATAAGAATGGATTCGGGTACATCTGGGTGGGCACAAAATTGCCCCACTGCAGGGTTCCATACCTGCCGACTGTCGACCCCAACTGCCGACCGTTTTGCAGCCGACCAGTGGGGCCGACCAGTCAGAAAACAGCCATCCGCTGACTCTTTTTCAAATCTGAGTTTGGGGCTGTACTGCACTTGCTGAGCACAGCCCAAATCCGCTGAGACACTTTTGGGGATTGAGGGGGGGGTAGGG